CCTTGTTTTATCCAAGGAGAAAAGAATATTAGCTCCGTTAAATGTCTCGTAAAGATACGTTAAAACCCCAAAATCTAGGTTTTTAGTTTTCAACTTTTTGTGACAAAAAGATCCCGTGCCCATGTTTAAGTAGTAATTAATAATCTTATAATTAGTTGAGAAAGATAGAAAGATAGATAATTACTGGGTCTGTTTAGATCAAATCTTGAAAATATTCCAGGAACAAGAAGAATTAAGAGATATATTTTATTCCTAGTTGATTATCAAGTAGTTAGTTCCCCTCACCCTCCCTCCCTACCTAACTATACCTACCTCCTCCCTCCCTACCTAACTATACCTACCTCCTCCCTCCCTACCTAACTATACCTCCCTCCTCCCTACCTAACTATACCTACCTCCTCCCTACTTACTTTTCTTCCTCAGATACAGCTAACTATAACTCCCTCCTCTCTACATACCTTTCTACCTACCTAACTACCTTCATACCTAACTACCTTCCTACCTAACTACCTTCCTACCTAACTACCTTCCTACCTAACTACCTTCATACCTAACTACCTCCCTAACTTTTTACCTACCCACCTTTCTACTTAACTACCTTCCGTTCTACCTACCTAACTTCCTACCCTACCTCAACCTGCATCTCTAACTATCCCCTTACAACTACCTCTAAAATAAGATGGAGAAATGAACATTGCTGTCTACTATTTCAAGATTATCAATTCATAGTTTCTCTCAGAAATCAAATATTTCTCAAAACTTTTAAACCAAATAATTTGCATCCTGTATCCTAGGATTCTCCCCAACCTGTATCCTGTATCCTTGGATTCTACCCAACCTGCATCCTGCATTCGAGGATTCTCCCCAACCTGTGTCCTGTATCCCAGGACTCTGGCCCAACCTGTATCCTAGAATTCAACCTGTATCCTTTAGTCTAGAATTCTACCCAACCTGTATCCTGTATCCTAGGAATCAACCTGTATACTGTATCCTAGTATTCAACCTGTATCCTGTATCCTAGGATTCAACCTGTGTCCTGTATCCTAGGATTCAACCTGTATTCTGTATCCTGTATCCTAGGATTCAACCTGTATTCTGTATCCTAGGATTCAACCTGTATCCTGTATCCTGTATCCCAGGAAACCTACAAGCTTGTATCCCGTAGTGAATTCTGAATTGTTTGGCGCGTGACACAAAATATGTCTTCCGTTATCCTTCAACCCCTCCCTATCCTATCCCCCACCCTTCAAGCACCCCCCCCTTGGGGGACGCCGTTCTCCCCCCCTCTCCTTCCCTTTCCCTCTCTTCCTCTGAATAGGATATACTTAATACTATGTTTATATCCTTTACTCTCAGTAACCAGACTTCAATTTCTTACCCCCCCCCCCCTCCCGGCTACCCCCTATCTAAATTTTTCTCTTTCCATTCAAGCAATGCAAAATGTTTCTGCTCTTTTTTGTGAAATATAAAAACTAGCTGGAGTACCCGGCATTTCCCAAGTTTTTATCATGTTTTGTAAAGCTATAGTTAATCCAACCGTTTACCCGCGCTAGGTATTAAATCATGATCATAGCTATTAAAGTGCCCAGTATTGCCCTTGAAATTTCATAGCCAATGTCACCCTTTAGGTACCCATGGTATTCCTCAAAATTTTTTAGCCAATTTGGTTAAGACGTTTTGCCAGCTGTTTGAAATGGTATGAAATGACATGAAATGATATGAAATGATATGAAATGACATGAAATGACATGAAATGACATGAAATGACATGAAATGACATGAAATGAATGACATGAAATGACATGAAATGACATGAAAACCACAATTGAAAGTTTAATCAATTTTTAAAGTTAATAACATGATATCTTATTCATACTTGATCTTTTAAAGCTTTTACCGTTGGGTATCGGATATGCCATAGATGGAAGGTCAGTAAAAGATGATTTTGATTCCTCCGTTCCTTCCCTTTTTCTGTCTTTTTAACTGCAAGCCCCCCTCCCTTTTATTCCTTCTCAATCCTAAATATATTTGGTTAAAAGTGTGGACCCTGAACTCCCCTGATATTCTTGATATTCTTGATACCTGTCAAACCAATCTAACAAATATCAAAGTTTTCAACAAAAAACGGCTTATTTAATTTTATACTTTGAAAGGCTAGCGACACCTACTTATTTTCAGAATCACATATTTTATGAAAATATTCCAAAGTAATAAAAATATTGTGCAGGAATTTCTGTTATCTTGGAACAAGATTTAGAATATAATTTTTAACTAAATTTGAAATCCATGCATGCGTATTATACAGAGCAAGCATACATAGAAATTTCAAAAATGTTTAATGTCATCCATTGATAGATCACTGGTGTACAAAACACAATTACTTAGAACAGGAAATCCCCCCCCCGTCAATAAAAAAGATATCCTTCTCAGGCTTTAATGTAGAGAAGGGGGAGGTTAATGTAGAGAAGGGGGAGGAGGG